CGCGGGGCCATGAGGGGCCGGCTCCCGCCATGGCCCATGGCAGCGGCGCCGTCATGCTCAAGTGCGTGGTGGTGGGGGACGGCGCCGTGGGCAAGACGTGCCTGCTCATGAGCTACGCCAACGACGCCTTCCCCGAGGAGTACGTGCCCACCGTYTTCGACCACTACGCAGGTGAGCGCCGCGGGGCAGCGGCCGCCGGCGCGGACGGTTAACGGTCGTTCCCTCTTCCCCGTTCTCCGTGTCCCGCGGCGGCTCCGCCAGCGCGGCCGTTTAACGGTCGTTCCCCCACCTCCCTCCTCGGTGCCCCGCGGCGGCTCCGCTAGTGCGGCCGTTTAACGGTCATTCCTGCTCGGTGCCCCGGGGCCGTTTAACGGTCGTTCCCTCTCCCCGCTTCTCCGTGCCCCGCGGCCTTTCAACGGTCATTCCGCCTCCTCCCTGCTCGGTGCCCCGCGGCCGTTTAACGGTCGTTCCCCCTTCCTGGGCGCCCCCGGTAGCGACGCGCGTTGTCTCTGCCTTGCAGTGAGCGTCACGGTGGCGGGCAAGCAGTATCTGCTGGGGCTCTACGACACCGCCGGGCAGGTGAGTCCCCGTGCGCGGCCGTGTGTGCTAACGGGGCGAGCGATTAACCAAATAACCCCCCGCACACACACACCCGAGCACGACTTTTGAGAGGCGGCCGCTGACCAGACTCTTCCTCCCCGGCGCAGACTTTATTTTTAGTTGTGGAGCGAACCTGCCGCCTCAAACGGCAACGGGCCCGGGAGGGAGCCAGGCTCCTGCAGGCTGCCTTGTTTACACTCCTTGTTTACACTAAATARCCAAAAAGGGGTTTTTCAGCCGCAAAGGCGGTTGAAAGATAGAGTTACAGTAGCTGTATCTTGTGTGTGTATGTGTGTGTGTGTGTGTATATATATAACATTGTATACATATATATATATATACAGAACTCAAATGATTTTGTTAAGATGATTGCAGGCTGTGATTGCAGGATATTGTGAAAGATGCTATGTCAGCATGGGTCTTAAAGCAGCTTTAATGACGGATTAAATGTTGGATGTTTGGACACTAAGGGGCTCCTTTATTATAGTCTCCTCTCTGTTAGCTTAACTTTTCAGTGCCTTTGCTGCAGGCTCAGCACGGACTCCAGTCAGCTGAGGTGCTCAGAGCTGTTTCCAGATGGCTTGTCTGAAACAAAATAGCTTGTAAAAGGCCTGACCCAGTGAGGTGCCAGAGTCACCTAGAGTTGTGGAACTCATTCCAGAATGGCTGCGTGTATGTTTTGTGGTTCCCTCTCCCTCTCCCCCTTTCTGCCAAGTTGTGCTTTGATTCCTTATATTCAGACTTCTTCTTTCAGTGTGAGTGTGTGTTTTGGTCTTGCATGTCCCCACATTGGACTTGTCTGTCTGTTGTAAAAGAAGAGCAACTAGTCAAATGATCTTATTAAGCTAATCCTGTGGTCTTTTTTTTTTTTTTTTAATCAAGTTATTACTATACTTAGTTGAACAGCTATTGTCTAAACTACTTTTTTTTTCAGATTTGCATATAGCCTTAAGTAAGAGTATCAGCTTTAAATAAGAGAAACTGATGRTCTTTTATATTTTTGTTGGGGCCTGAGATCAGAAACAAAATTAATCTGAGGGAGAATATGGGAACTTGCCTCATTTCCAGAAAGCTGCTCTCTGATGAGGGAGGCCGTTACCAGAAAGAACAGCTTCATGTCTCTGATCTCGCTGATACAAGCAGAAGCTGGGCAAATTTATACAAACCAAACTCATCCGTTACTACTGTCACAGTTCTATTACTCAGAAGTACATAGTTCAGTATTCAGCCTGTTGTGAAACATTTCTTATATCATGCTACAAAATAAGGATCCTAACGCTTGGGCAAATAAAGCATTTGGTTAATATGTATTTTTTTTTAAATGAACATTCTAAAATACAACAGAAGCCAGCACTGCTGAATGTATTGTGGCTTATTTGTGGATGCTGTCTCAATCGGCTTGAGCCGGCCTGTTGCTATTAATGGGACCGTATCCTGTTCACTATGTGTAGCCTTAACTGAGCTGGTTTTGTGGTATCCTGCTGTGTCTAAATGTGCCGAGTACAAAACCGAGTGACCTTTGGCCGGCTGTGAAGCCAGTAGGATAAACTGCCTCATTTGCAGCAAACCACAAGTGAAGTTACTCCTGTCACACTCAGCTAAACTCTTCAGTGTTGCGCTGTATAGCCACACCATGTACAATGTGGAGGTAAGCTTTTTTAAATCATGAAGAGCCTAATCTTAAATTTAAATTACAGAACACAGACCAGGTCTTGCTGTCCAAACACAGTGGAGTCATAGGGTGTTATAGTGAGGATATCTTTTGAAATGGGCCTAATGTTGGCAAAACTCCCCTTCTGAAGTTATCCCAATAGTGGAAGGAGAGGAGGTGATGGGCACCCCCTGGGTCTGTGGCCTGCAAGGAGAACTAATGGCCTTGCTGAGATTTTCTCTTCAGCACAGCTGGCAGGCAGGGAGGCTTAAAATCACTATGAGGATGAGACAGCTGAGGATAGGATGCCCTGTAGAAAATCTATGGAAAAATGAGAAATCAAAATGTGTCATCTTTCTTGTAATGCTCTTATGTGACAAGCCTCTCTCCCTTCAAAGCACGGGGAGGAATTATCAGAGGCGCTGTGTGCGGAAGGTGGCAGGGAATGGGGAGAGCGGCAGGCAGCCAGTACCCAGGGAGCTCAATCAGACCTGCAGTGATGATAAAATTTTCACCATTATCCTTGTTCTGGTTCAGTATAGTTGGGGAATGTGTGGAGTTCTAGGGCTGCCCACAAAAGCCCCATCCCAACATCCAGAACAACTGAGATCCCTGTGGGACATCCTGTAAATTTTATTATCCCTTTCTGTAGAGACCCTCAGTCCATCAATTCTATTTTTTCTACCAGTTCATCACAAGAGAGTTTGCTGACAAGTCCTTCTGCCCAGAGCCATGGGGTAACAGAAAACTTATTGAAAGGCTTTATATAGATAGATAGAAATAGATACATAGATGGGTGTGCGCGCACACACACACACACTATTTATATATATGTACATACTATATATATATATACACATACACATAAAAATAAAAGAAAAAGCATTAACCGATGGTGCCTTCTGCGTGTTGATAAAATAGTATGCTCATCTGGTACATGCCTGCTGTTTGTACAGACTCTTGCATAGCTTGGATTCTTTACCACTCAAAGACCTGGGACTTTGGATATATGTCAGCATATATCACTAGAAAGCCTGTCTTGATATTTTTATTTCTAATGCTTTCACCCCCAAACAGAATTGCCATAAGATACTGGTCTGATAGGACCTCTTTCCTCAAAAGTTCCTAGCACATGACTGTGGTGCTATCTGAGGTGTTCCCAAACTTAAGTGCATTTATATTCCTACCGCTGGGCACAGTATGTAGGGACTGCCATTTTCATTTTGCAGGGGAAGGTAGGAAATACAGTGAAGTTTAGACTAGGATGAACTCCAGGTTAATGCAGGAAGCATGTAGCAGAGCAAGGATTAAACTCCTTTTGWTTTTTAGCTGGTGCCCAGTGCAGCCATAGGCTGAAATACTTTTCTTGCCAATCTGTGTGTCTCCTAACTTGCGTGCATTTAGGAACTTGTGCTAGACTGCTGTTCGGCAGAAGGGCTGTAAGCTTACAATTCCATGAAACTGARTGTTCATTTCTAGTTTGTTTTTTCTCAGCATAGGCAGAAACATACACAGTAACTGTACTGAGCAGATAATACCTCACAATTTGAAGCACTTAAAACAGGGTGAGAATAAATCCCATTTATTTGAGGTTATATCTGGGAGTGGGYGAGCAATGCCACTGGCAGGTCACCAGTTTCTTGTTTGTATGTGTTTATGTGAATTCAGGCAGACTTTTTTTTCTAGCTGCAAATATTAAGGTCCTGTTCAGCAGAAAATAGCTAGTACAGCTGCTGGACAGTGGAAGCTCCCAGAGCCTGTTTAGCTTTGCAGCTGTGGAAGCTAAGTCCTGCTGGAGGGAGATGGATGGCAATGAGGTCTCTTTGGAGGCTATGCCATACTTAAAGGGACATTCCACAGGCCATTCCTCCCAGAGGTGCAGCCTGCAGCTCCTTTTAGCTCCGTTGCTGCACATGGCCATTCATTGAGACCAGGGAGGCTGAGTGAATTTAGAGCAGATCATAGTTTGTCTGGATCTTAATTTACAGTACTTCTCTTAACAGTACCACATTGGCATCTTAATGAATGTGGAATGTCATGATTCTGAAGTTAGGGAGAAAGTTCTTTAAAGATTTGCAAAGAGAGATGTGCTGTTTGTGCCCTTGCCAAACTCAAAATTATTTGAGTTGAAGGACGCACAGGATTTGCCTTTGACAGTTTTACTCCACAGTGAAGGATGCTACTCAAAATGGCACCGAGAGACCATCCTCCATCCCTTTCAATGTGGGCTTTCATTCACAGCATGGCCTCACTTCTCGTATGTGTTGTAGCCTCATACTCTGTGCTTTACTGTAAAGGACTGTCAGTAACTGGAGGCGGGGGACAGGCAAAATGCAGGAGCAGAGCTCCTGTTGTGCTGGTCCTGGTACCCGGGGAGAGGCRTGAGGGGCTGCCGGGTGCAGGCTTGGCCCCATGCCCAGCATCAGGGCAGTAAAGTGCAAGTTACAGAAGTAGAAGAACGGCCATGACTATGGCACTGTGCATCAGAATAATCTTTTGGCATGTTTATGTTGCCCACTGCTCACAAAAAAAGTCCTACATGCTGAAAGGAGGTCAGTGCTGAAGTAGCCTTCCTGGAGCATCTGCTTTCCCACCTGTGGCTATACCTCTGCCTTAAAGGCCTTATATTGTGTGTAGGGCMAGCTGTACAGTTGGGCAGACTGTTGAGGTGCATAAAGCTAATGTAAATACTGTTAGAAAGATCAGTGCCTGTGTTAAGACTTGGCTTGAAAGCAAATGATTSTAACTGTAAATGTGCCTGTAGGAAAGGGATAGATGTTACGAAAATGTACGGTCACAAAACTTGTGGTAGCTGTTATAAATAAACCAAGAAATAGCAGTAATCCTTGGTGGCTGTTTGTCTTGGCCTTGGTAGGTAGCCCGGTTTAGCAAGTATCAATTCAATATCCCACAGAAAGGAGAGGCAGCTGCTGATCATTTTGGCTACTCTGTTCTAAAACAGGATTTTCCTTCCTTAGGCCACATCTGTTTCTTCTGTGTTGTACATACAGCTCAGCTGTGGCCCAACGTGTAAACCTGGAATACTACACAAGCACAACTGCGTGGAACACAAAGCCCCTGGAGTTGTAAATATTTAATAAAATAACATGGATTTGGCAGATCTAAGGATGGAATGTTGGGAATTAACATTCTGTCCCCCTCAGCTTCCCCCTTGCACCTCCTTTCTCCCACTTGCATTCCCTTGCTCCYGTGATACTGTACCAGACAAGCTGGCAGCTGCTGGGAACCTGGGACCTCGTTGGAGACCAGAGCCCTGTCCTGTGCCTAGCTCAGACTCCACTGGAGCTGCTGGGTGCTGAAAGATGCT